TTGATGTGCTGTTGCAATCGGCTTGTCAGTATTTTATTGAAGATTTTTGCATCTATGTTCATCATGGATATTGGCCTGAAGTTTTCTTTTCTTGTTGAGTCTCTGCCGGGTTTTGGAATCAGGATGATGTTGGTCTCATAAAATGATTTGGGAAGAATTCCCTCTTTTTGTATTGTTTGGAATAGTTTCAGAAGGAATGGTACCAGCTCCTCTTTGTATGTCTGGTAGAATTCGGCTGTGAACCCGTCTGGACCTGGGCTTTTTTTGGGTGGTAAGCTCTTAATTGCTGCCTCAACTTCAGACCTTGTTATGGGTCTGTTCAGGGTTTCAGCTTCTTCCTGGTTTAGGCTTGGGAGGAGGCAAGTGTCCAGGAATTTATCCATTTCTTCCAGGTTTATTAGTTTATGTGCATAGAGTTGTTTATAATAATCTCTGATGATGGTTTGAATTTCTGTGGAATCTGTGGTGATATCCCCTTTATCATTTTTTATTGCATCAATTTGGTTATTCTCTCTTTTCTTTTTTATTAATCTGGCTAGTGGTCTGTCTATTTTGTTGATCTTTTCAAAAAACCAGCTCCTGGATTTATTGATTTTTTGAAGGGTTTTTTGTGTCTCTATCTCCTTCAGTTCTGCTCTGATCTTAGCTATTTCTTGTCTTCTGCTAGACTGATTTTTTTTTTATCTTGCTCCTCTAGCTCTTTCAGTTTTGATGATAGAGTGTCAATTTTTGATCTCTCCTTGCTTCTCATGTGGGCACTTATTGCTATATATTTTCCTCTAGAGACTGCTTTAAATGTGTCCCAGAGATTCTGGTATGTTGTGTCTTCATTCTCGTTGGTTTCGAAGAACATCTTTATTTCTGTCTTCATTTCATTGTTTATCCAGTCAACATTCAAGAGCAAGTTCAGTTTCCATGAAGCTGTGCGATTCAGGGTTAGTTTTTGAATTCTGAGTTCTAACTTGATTGCACTGTGGTCTGAGAGACTGTTTGTTACGATTTCCGTTCTTTTGCATTTGCTGAGGAGTGATTTACTCCCAATTATGTGGTCAATTTTAGAGTAGGTGTGATGTGGTGCTGAGAAGAATGTATATTCTGTGGATTTGGGGTGGAGAGTTCTGTAAATGTCTATTAGGTTTGCTTGGTCCAGGTCTGAGTTCAAGTCCTGGATATCCTTGTTAATTTTCTGTCTGGTTGATCTGTCTAATGTTGACAATGGGGTGTTAAAGTCTCCCACTATTATTGTGTGGGAGTCTAAGTCTCTTTGTAAGTCATTAAGAACTTGCCTTATGTATCTGGGTGCTCCTGTATTGGGTGCGTATATATTTACGATCGTTAGCTCTTCTTGTTGCATTGATCCTTTTACCATTATGCAATGTCCCTCTTTGTCTTTTATGATCTTTGTTGCTTTAAAGTCTAATTTATCAGAGATGAGAATTGCAACTCCTGCTTTTTTTTTTGCTCTCCACTTGCTTGGTAAATCTTCCTCCATCCCTTTATTTTGAGCCTTTGTGTATCCTTGCATGTGAGATGGGTTTCCTGGATACATCACACCGATGGGTTTTGGCTTTTTATCCAATTTGCCAGTCTGTGTCTTTTGATTGGGGCATTTAGTCCATTTACATTTAGGGTTAATATTGTTATGTGCAAATTTGATACTGCCATTTTGGTGCTAGCTGGGTGTTTTGCCCTTTAGTTGAGCTGGTACTTGTTGTTCCTTTATGTGTGTAGAGCCTCTTTCAGGAGCTCTTGTAGAGCTGGCCTGGTGGTGATGAAATCTCTGAGTACTTGCATGTTCCCAGAGAATTTTATTTTTCCTTCACTTATGAAGCTTAGTTTGGCTGGATAGGAGATTCTGGGTTGAAAGTTCTTTTCTTTAAGGATGTTGAATATTGGCCCCCACTCTCTTCTGGCTTGTAGGGTTTCTGCTGAGAGATCTGCTGTGAGTCTGATGGGCTTCCCTTTGTGGGTAACCCAACCTTTCTCTCTGGCTGCCCTTAGTATTTTCTCCTTCATTTCAACCCTGGTGAATCTGACGATTATGTGCCTTGGGGTTGCTCTTCTTGACGAATATCTTTGTGGTGTTCTCTGTATTTCCTGGACTTGAATGTTTGCCTGCCTTGCTAGGTTGGGGAAGTTTTCCTGGATAATGTCCTGAAGAGTATTTTCCAGCTTGGATTCATTCTCTTCGTCGCATTCAGGTACGCCTATCAAACGTAGATTAGGTCTTTTCACATAGTCCCACATTTCTTGGAGATTTTGTTCATTCCTTTTTACCCTTTTTTCTCCAGTCTTGCCTTCCCGTTTTATTTCATTTAGTTGATCTTCGACCTCTGATATCCTTTCTTCTGCTTGGTCAATTCGGCTGTTGATACTTGTGCATGCTTCACGAAGTTCTCGTGTTGCGTTTTTCAGCTCCATCAATTCACTTATATTCCTTTCTATTTTGTCCATTCTCGTTAGCATTTCGTCAAATCTTTTTTCAAGGTTCTTAGTTTCTTTGCATTTGGTTAGAACATGTTCTCTAAGTTCACAGAAGTTTCTTACTACCCACCTTCTGAAGTCTGATTCTGTCATTTCATCACACTCGTTCTCCCTCCAACCTTGTTCCCTTGCTGGTGAGGAGTTGTGATCCCTTTTAGGAGGAGAGGTGTTCTGGTTTTGGGTGTTTTCATCCTTTTTGCGCTGTTTTCTTCCCATCTGTAAGGATTTATCCACCTGTCGACTTTGTAGTTGCTGGCTTTCAGATTGGGTCTCAAATCTTTCAGACTGACGTTCTGTTTGTTGATGATGTTATTTCTGTTTCTTTGTTTTCCTTCTGACAGTCTGGCCCCTCTGCTGTAGGTCTGCTGAGGTTCACTCCAGGCCCTGCTTGCCTGGGGTTCACCTGCAGCAGCTGCTGAACAGTAAGGGTTGTTACCAGTTTTCTTCTTCTGCTATCTTTGTCCCAGAAGGATACCCGCCTAGTGTCAATATGATCTCTCCTTTATGAGGTGGCTCTTTGGATATATAGGGGTCAGGGAGCTGCTTGAGGAGACGGTGGCTTCTTTATAGGAGTTCAAATGGTGAGCTGTGAGCTCTGTTGTGCATTCAGAGCTGCTGGGCAGGTACGTTTAGGTCTGCTGTAGCGGAACTCATAAACTGCTTTTTGTTCCCAGGTGCTCTGTCCCAGGGATTTAGGGCTTTATTTATGTGTTTCCATTATGCTGCTGCCTTCTTTTTTTTTCCTTCAGACCTGCCCAGCCCAGCAAGGAGGCAGCCTAGTCACTGTTGGCCTATAGAGGCTTTGCTGAGCTGCTGTGGGCTCCACCCAGCTGCCGAGTGAACTTCCCTGCAGTTCTGTTTATATGGATGTAGTTAGAACTGCTTTGGCGATGGTGGCCCACCTCTGTTGAGGTGGAGTCTCTCTGCTATGGCGGGCTGCCTCGGCAACGGGGGGCTGCCTCAGCAATGGCGGGTTGCCTTGGCAACGGCGGGCTGCCTCGGCATTGGCCGGCTGCCTCGGCATTGGCCGACTACCTCCGTCATGGCGGGCTGCCTCGGTAATGGCGGACGCCCCTCCCCCACAGAGCTGGACCCTCCCGGGTTCAGCTGCGCTTGCTGTGAGACTCTCAATCCAGAGTTTCTGGTTGCTGTTCTTTTGTGGGGGTGGGGCCAGCCGAGCCTGATCGCCTGGCTCCCTGCCTCAGAGCCTTTTTTAAGTTGGTGTTCCAGTCGCCTGTTGAAGAGGCGCCGGGGTCTGTTTGTTTTCCCCTGCGGCCACTCACTGCGCTGGCTTAAACAGCGGCACTGAGGTTTGTGGCGCTTTTTTTTTTTTTTTTTTTTTTGCCCTGGAATCTACTGTCCTGGTTCCCTGCTCAGTCCCCTTTTTAAACAGACGAATGGGCGACTTCCCGTGGCTCCAGTCGCCAGCCAAAAGGGCACCCGGACCGGTGTATTTTGTACGGAGAACCGCGGCTCCGGGGCGCCGACAAAGCAGCCGCGCGGGGCAAAGCAGCGGCGCCGTTTGGCACAGGCGCGCTGGCCGAAACAGCCGCGCTGGTGACCTGTGGAGCTCCTCTGCCTGGGAATTTCCTAGTCTGTGGGCAATAAAAATGTGGTGTCCACTCACCCTCTGTGCTTTCACTGGGAGCTGCAATCCTGAGCTGTTCCTAAATGGCTATCTTGGATCCTCCCCTTTTCAAACTGTTTAATCTTTTTAAGGAATAAATTTGAGGAAATTTAGATATAGTACATTTAGATTACAATTTTTATCTAGGTTTAAGTGCTTGCTTTTTTCTTCATATGATTATTTTCCAGAAGAAAGAAGAAATGGGCATAATACTTAAGAAAACCATATATTTTAAAAGTACGGTTTACAGAGCATTTTCTTATAGTTCATTCATTCAGCAGATATTATTGATATTGTTCTTGTTACTACTGTCATTATCTCCACTCTATAAGTGATTGAGCTGAAAGCGATTATTGGGCTAGGACATAATAGACCCAGTAGTAGATCTCAGGGCTTCCCATTAATTGATTGATTGTTGTTGTTTTTGTTGTTGTTGTTTTGAGATGGAGTTTTGCTGTGTCACCCAGGCTGGAATGCAATGGCGCGATCTCGGCTCACTGCAACCGCTGCCTCCCAGGTTCCAGTGATTCTCCTGCCTCAGCCTCCCAAGTAGATAGGATTACAAGCACCCACCCCCGCGCCCCACTGATTTTTGTATTTTTAGCAGAAACAGGGTTTCACCATGTTGGCCAGGCTGGTCTTGAACTCCTGACCTCAGGTGATCCACCCACCTCAGCCTCCCAAAGTGCTGGGATTACAGGAATGAGCCACTGTGCCTGGCCCCATTAATTGTTTATTGCTTTTCCCATAGTGCATTTTTATATCAGTCATTCTTAGAATAATTAACCCATAATTTTACATATTTCCTTGTCTTTCTTAAAACACTATATCTTTTACATGACCCTACAACTGATACAACAAATTCATTTATCTTATTCTGTGTTTTTAGGGCAGGGCTCTGCTTCATTGGGCCTGTGATCGAGGACATAAGGATCTTGTCACAGTCTTGCTACAACATAGAGCTGACATTAACTGTCAGGTAAGAGTGATAAAGAAGAGCTTTTACTTTTTTAATTGAAGCATAATTCACATAACATAAAATTTACCAGATTAACTGTTCTGAAATGTGCAATTCAGTGGCATTTAGTGCATTTCACAGTGTTGTGTAATCATTGCTACTATATAGTTCGGTAATGCTGTCATCACCGCAAAAGAAAACCCTGTTCCCATTAAGCAGTCACTTTGTATTTCTCCCCTCACCCCAGACCTTGGCAACCACTAATCTGCTTTTTGTTTCTGTAGATTTGCCTATTCTGGATATTTTATATAAATGGAATCATAAGATTTATGTTTTTTTTTGTGTTTGACTTCTTTTACTTAGCATAATGTTTTGAAGGTGTATTCATATTGTAGCATATAACAGTACGTCGTTCCTTTTTATGACTGAATGTTTTGGGTATCCCACGTGTTGTTTATCCGTTCATCAACTGATGGACAGTTTGGATTGTTTCTGCCTTTTGGCAGTTGTGAATAATCCTGCTGTGAACATTTGTGTACTTGAATTTTTGTTTGAATACCTGTTGTCCTTTTGGTTGCATACATAGGAGTGGAATTACTGGGTCATATGGTTATTTGATATTTAACTTTTTGAGCAACTGACAAACTGTTTTCCATATGAGCTGCACCATTTTTCATGCCCAGCTGCTGTGTATGATGCTTCCAGTTTCACCACATCCTCACCAATGGTTGTTATTTTCCCTTTTAAAAAACAACTATCTTAGTGGCTATGAGGTGATACCTCATCATGGTATGATTTTGATTTGCATTTCCCTAATGACTAATGATATGGAGTATCTTTTCATATACTTGTTGACTATTTTCATGTCTTTTTTTGAGAAATGTCTGCTTCAGTCTTTGCCCATTTTAAAGTGATTTGTTTGTCTCTTTGTTGTTGAGTTGTAGGAGTGCTTTATATATTCTGGATACTAGACCCTTATCAGATACATGATTTACAAGTGTCTTCTCCCTTTTTGTGGGTTTTCTCTTCATTTTCTTGATAGTGTCTTTTGATGCACATGTTGTAAATTTTGATGAAATCTAATTTATCATTTGTTTTCTCTTTTGTTTATGGTTTCTTTAGAAACCATTGCCAAATCCAAAGTCATTAAAATTTACCGCTTTGTTTTCTTTCTCTTTTTTATTGTGGTAAAATATTCATAACATAAAATTTATCATTTTAACCATTTTAAGTGTATAGTTATGTGGCACTAAATACATTCATATTGTGTGCACCCATGGCCACCACCCATCTCCAGAACTTTTTCATCTCCACCAACTGAAACTCTGTAACTGTTAAACACTAATTTCCCATTCCTCCCTTCCTTATGCCCTTGGCAACTACCATTCTACTTTCTATTTCTGTGAATTTGACTATTCTGGGTACCTTGTATAAGTGGAATCATACAATATTTGTCCCTTTTTGACTAGCTTATTTCACTTAGCATAACATCATCAAGTTCATCTGTGTGGTTTGCATGTGTCAGAATTGTCTTCCCTTTTAAAACTGATTATTATTTTTATGTATTTGCCATATTTTGTCTGTTTCGGTATCCATGGGCACTTGGTTTGCTTTGACCTTTTGGCGATTATGAATAATGATACTATGAACATGGATGTACAAATGTCTGTTCAAGTCCCCACTTTCATTTCTTTTGAGTATATACCCCAAAAATAGAACTGCTGGATCATATGATAATTCCACGTTTAATTTTTTTGAGGAATCGCCCTGTTATTTCCCACAGTAGCTGTACCATTTTACATTCCCACTAGTAATACACAAATGTTTGAATTTCTCCATATCCTTGCCCACAGTTGTTATTTTCTGTGTTTTTGACAATAGACATCCTGATGACTGATTTGGGTGCCTTTTATTTCATTTTCTTGCCTAATTGCTCTGGCTAGACCTTCAAGTACTATATTGAATAGAAGCGGTAACATAAGTATCCTTGTCTTCTTATGCTTGGGTTCTGGAAAAAGCTAAAAGAATAATAATAAAATCACACAACACTGGTGTTAACATAAATCATGGTAATATCATGAAATTTGACTACCAAGTCTTCTGGCCTTTATCTTCAGAATACCTCTTATTTCACAGAGAAAGTAGAATAAATCTTTATCACCAATACATATCTCAGCCAGTAGCTCCAGACACACGTCTCTCTTCTTTGATGTCCCTCAGATACTTCAAACTCACAATATCTAACACTAAACACCAGCCTCCCTCAACAGCCCACCCTTCCCCACCTGCCACTCGCCATAATTGGCACCGTCATCCAACCAGTTCCCAGGAGTTCTCCTTGCTTCTTCCCTCACCTTCATACTTACTCAAGTCCTGTAGGTTCTGTTTCCTAAGTAACCTTAGTCTCTCAAATAAACCCACTTCTCTCTTTCAACATCAACAGTACATTCGCTCAGTCTTCTTAAATTATTTCAGCACTCTGAACTATATCCCTACTTCTAATCTTGGCATTCTACAATATATTCCACACATTTCATTGAGGGGTTTTCTAAAATTCAAGTTTACCAATGTTTTCCTGTTTACTTTTATTTTTCTAAGATAAAATTTAAATATAATTTGCCCTGTAAAGCACTTCATGATCTGGGTCTTGCTTATGTCACCACTAATTTCTCAGCGCACTTCTGCTTATGTACTATTCCTGGTATACTAAACTCCACTTGTTCTGAAGACCCTGACATGCTGCTCACTTCTTGGCCTTTAAATAATACTATTTTTCTCTCTCCTTTGTTCACTGTGTAGGCCTCAGCTTATATATTATTTCCTCCTGGAAGCCTTTCTTTGCTATAACCAGTTAGACACCCCTGCTCCTTATCACAGTGCAATTACTTTGTGTTATATTTGGCTGCTTACATATCTGTATCCTCGACACCACCATATACAAGTACCAGAATTTGGTTATATCACTGGTGCTTAGCATAATACCTGACACATAGTATTGCTCAGTAATTAAATGTTGAATAAATAAGATCAGCTCATAAAGCAACTGGCAAGGTGTTAAAATAGAACGTGCGAACCGGAAAGGACCTAAACACCTGCCCAAACCTTTGGGATAAATCACTGTTGTTTCATCAGAAGAAATACTTCTTTCCCCATTGGAAATGTATGCCTTCTTCTTGGGCCGATTGCCTCACTTAGGACCAAACCTTACTTTGAAATGTATGTAGTTCACTGTAAGTAAGTAAATGTATGTACACAAAGGAGACAACAAACAACAACAAAAGCTGTACTTAAAAAAATCTCTTCTTTCCAGCTTTGTTTCCCAGCCACCCAGAGGCAGCACCTAGTGCCAGTTTTATGTATATCCTTTTAGAATGTTATATATGCAAGAATATGAAGTAGCAGTATGATAGCAAACTGTACACGCTGTTCTATAACTTGTTTTTTTAATAATTTATCTTGGAGGCTGTTCTATGTTTGTACTTATAGTCCTGCCTTATTCTTTTTAATGGCCATATAATATTCCTTTTAAAGAACTTATCATAATTTAGTTAATACCATATAAATGGACTGTAACAATTTATACTTCCACCAGCAATGTATAAGAGAATTCCTGTTTCTTTAGCCATACCAAATAGTTCATCATAACACTTTTTGTTCTCTGTTTGATGAATGGTATATCATATTTTTAATCTATCTTTTCCTCAGTTTCCCATTGTATTGATGGTATTTTTCTTCTTAACTTACAGGCACTTTTTATATAGTAAGGAAAATTTCTCCTTTGTGATATAGTTGTTAAGATTTTTCCCCCATATTTTCTTCTAATGCTTTTATCATTTCATGGTTTTAATCAACTCATCTAGAATTTCTTTATCATATGTATGTAATAGGAATTTTACTTTTGTCCAGATGGTGCCAACTTTTTTTTTGTCCAGATGACTATCCAATTCCAGTAATGTTTATTGAATAAATAATTGGGATCTTTTCTCTAGTAATTTAAACTGTCTTATCATAGTCTCAATTCTTTTATGTATTTCAGTCAATTTTGGGGGCTTGTTCTTCCATTCCATCGCTCTGGTTTTCTGTTCATGTATTTGTGCTACACTGTTTTAAGTATTACAGCTTCAAAATATATTGTAAAATCTGGTTGGGCAAATTCCTTCACTACTCATTCAAAATCTTTTCTACTGTTTTTGCTTATTTAGCTCATGCCTGTAATCCTGGCACTTCAGGAGGTTGAGTCAGGAGGATCATTTGACACCAGTTTGAGACCAGCCTGGGCAACATAGTGAGACCTAATCTCCACAAAATTTTTTAAAAAAATCAGTTGTAGTGATAGGTGCCTGTAATCCTAGCTACTCTGGAGGCTGAGGTGGGAGGATCACTTGAGCCCAGGAGTTTGAGGTTACAGGGAACTATGATTAGACCACTGCATTCCAGTCTGGGTGACAGAGCCCAAGACCCTATCTCTAAAAAACAACAAAACATTTTTTTTAACCAAACAAATTGTTTGGAGGTGTTGTGTAGGGTAATTTCCTCAAGTTAGGCATTGCCTGAGGTTTTTGCCTTATGGATTTCTTATGTTCTGTTTATTTGGATAGTATGAGACATTTAAGCCAAAAACTACATTATGTGGCTTTATAAGACATTCTTTACTAACACCACCTTTAATGCAAAGTATAAGTTCGATGTAGGTTTTTGGGATGGATCTGTTAGAATTATATGCCTGGCACAATGTTTTCCTTGCCCCCTTTGTATTCACATGCCCATTGTGTGTAGCCACTGGCTTTGATTTTCTTTTACTATTGACAGTCATAATCTATACAGTCTAATTTTAGTTAATGGGATGTTTTTGGCTTTTCCAGTTTGAGTTGCTAACATGCTTCCAAGTCAGAGGGCTTCTGGAGATTAGCTCTCAGAATAGCTCTTTCCCTTGTAATATCTTCTTTGATTTCTTTATTGAAAATTCTTTTCAAATATAGACAATACAAACATCATAAATGGAAGGAAAGGTTCATCTCCCT